TACTGGGCTTCATGGTTCATCCTGCTTCACCAGGATTCTAGGGAATATATAGATTCGGTTATTCAGCCACGCTTTTTATGTTTTAACATTTTTTAAGTGTTTATTCATTTTTGACAGAGAGAGACAGAGCCTGAGTGGGGCAGGGGCAGAGACACAGGGAGACACAGAATGGGAAGCAGGCTCCCGGCTCCGAGCCGTCAGCACAGAGCCCGACGCGGGGCTCGAACTCATGACCCTTGAGATCGTGACCTGAGCCGAAGTCGGATGCTTAACCGACTGAGCCACCCAGGCGCCCCCCTGCCACACCTTTCTTAAGAAACTTTTTTTTTAATGTTTGTTTATTTTTTTTATTTTTAAAAAAAATTTTTTTTTCAACGTTTTATTTATTTTTGGGACAGAGAGAGACAGAGCATGAACGGGGGAGGGGCAGAGAGAGAGGGAGACACAGAATCAGAAACAGGCTCCAGGCTCTGAGCCATCAGCCCAGAGCCTGACGCGGGGCTCGAACTCACGGACCGCGAGATCGTGACCTGGCTGAAGTCGGACGCTTAACCGACTGCGCCACCCAGGCGCCCCTAATGTTTGTTTATTTTTGAGAGAGACCGAGGGAGAGTGCCTGTGTGCATGTGCGTGAGCAGGGGAGGGGCAGTGGGAGAGGGAGAAAGAGAATCCCAAGCAGCCTCCAGGCTCTGAGCTGTCAGAGCCCGGTGCAGGGCTCGAACCCACGAACTGTGAGATCATGACCCAAGCTGAAGCCAAGAGTCGGGACGCCTAACCGACTGAGCTGCTCAGGTGCCCCTAAATCCTTGTGTATTCTTATGTCCGCTGCACCTTTGGCTCTTTTAAACTAATGGCCGATGAAGTATGTTGTCAATAAAGGAATAAAATACTAACTTTCCTAGGGCTACCTCTGTTTTACTAGAAGCCTCTTAAAGGCTGTAGGAGCCAGAGCTCTGAGTCTAAGCGCCTTGTGAGCAGTGGTGACCCAGCATTTGTGATCAGACAGGTTGTACCCAAGTAGGCTGGCTGTGCGGCAGGCGGTGGGTGCTCTGGTGACCCGTGGGGAGCGGTGGTAGATGAGGGGCCAGGAGGCCGGAGACGCCCTGGGAGGACTTGCATTCATCAAGCCAAGACCTGTTGTCTCTGCTGTTTTCAGGTGCCTCGTTCTGTTGCCGTGCTGGGGCCGCAGAGTGACGGTATCTGCTGCTCGGAGCATAACCAGACATTGAGAGGAAGATCAGTGAATTATTATTTCTTAATAACTTAAGAAAACGGGCCTTTGTGGGCCTGACCGATACAGATCACCCGCACGAGAACACTGGCTTTAGACATTTGGACGAGCAATGGGACGTGAATGCCTGACATTGGGCACGTGTCCTGGAGTCATTCCTTGTCATGATTTATCAAGTCGGATACCCAAAAGCTGTGACTCAGAGGGGCAAGCTGGAACATTTCCACCTGCCTTACCTTTGCCGAGATGATTTTCAAACGTCCTAAGCTAGAAATTGGGTTAAAGACATGTAGTTTGTCAAACTGAGAGTGAAAGAGAGGACATTGGGCTTCCGGTGAAAGTGGATTTTTTTTTTTTTTTTTTTTTTTTGGCCTCTAAATAGCAATAATAGTGGTTTTGATGTAGCAAATGCTTATTATGGGGTCAGGAGTTGTACTAAGTGCTTTCTGTAATTCACAAAGCCGCTCTGTAGTCCCATTTTACGGGTGAGGCAGCTGGGTCACCGTGCGGAGAAACCTCTTGGCCAAGGCCGTGTCATGAAGGTGGTGAGTGTTGGAGCAGCATTGGAAGCCAGGGCCTTTAACCTAGGTCCACAGTCCTACCCACCGACTTGCAGCGTTTCCTTAAGCGAAGGATGAAACCTCGCTGGCGAGGCTGGTGGCGACCCAGTTGCGGGCCACGCTGAATGGGCTTCGTTTGAGGAACTGCAACGTCCTCAAAGAGCATCGTGCCCCCGACTGCTGGGTATTAGTCTCCCGTGGCTGCCGTAGCACGTTACCGCAAACGTGGTAGCTTAAAGAATGTACCTTTGTTGTTTTCGTTCAGTTCTGGAAGCCAGAACTCACAAATCTGTTGCCTTGGCAGAGCTGTGCCCGCCCCCCGCTGTGGGGGTTCCCCGAGAGAAGCTGTTCCTCGTTCGTGGTGGCTCTGCCCACATTCCGTGGCCTGTGGCTTCACTACCCCAGTCTGCCTTCTGGTCACGTTGCCTTTTCCTTAGTGTGGCATCAGATCATCCTCTGCTTCCTCCTTGTAAGGACACCTTTGGTGTCACTTGGGGCCCGTCCTGGTAATTTCCCCGTCTCAAGATCTTTAACTTATTTACACCTACGAAGTCCTTTTTTTTTTTTTTTTTGCCATTTGAGGCGGCATCCCAGATCGCAGCGATTAGGAGCTGGATAACCTTTGGGGGTGCGTTGTTCGACCCACCACAGTGACCAAGAGAAGGAATTAGAACTTTCAGTCCACCTTGTAGGAATGTGCTTGATTTCAACAATTTCCTAACTGTTCCGCAGGACCCAGACGCTGAAAGTGTGGAAAAATTCCACAGCCAAACAGATTTGAGAGTTATCGTGTTAAATATCCCTCTTAAGGAGATTCACAGTGTGCGGTGAAGGCCTGAAAATTCCGGAATGAAGATAGCTGCTTGAAGGGCTTTGATCGGGAAGGTGTTCTCTTCAGATTCGTGTGTTCGAAAGCTTCCCCTGGCACCTGTGTGGAGGATGGAGCGGGGAATACAACGACTAGGGAGGGCAGAGGCCCAGGATACAGGAGTGGAGGGAACAGAAGATGTTCTGGACTGCAGCCTGGGGTGTGGGGTGGGGGAGGGGCGGGTAGGGAGCTGAAGGAGCCCGGGGTAATCTTTTAAAATAAACTTAATTTTAGGGGCGCCTGGGTGGCAGAGTCGGTTAAGCGTCCGACTTCGGCTCAGGTCATGATCTCGCGAGATCTCGCGTGATCTCGCGTGAGTTCGAGCCCCGCGTCGGGCTCTGGGCTGATGGCTCGGAGCCTGGAGCCTGTTTCCGATTCTGTGTCTCCCTCTCTCTCTGCCCCTCCCCCGTTCATGCTCTGTCTCTCTCTGTCCCAAAAATAAATAAACGTTGAAAAAAAAAATTTAAAAAAATAAATAAATAAATAAATAAACTTAATTTTAGAATAGTTTTAGATTCAGACGAAGTTTGGGAAGATCGCCCAGGGAGCTCTCGCGTTCCCCGCGTCCGGCTTCCACACGTAACCAGTGACCCAGTATTGACACATGATCAGTTACTACAGCCGTATTTCATTCACATTTCCGCAGCGCTCACCTCACGTCCCTCTTTTGTTCCAGCAGCGCGTTCAGGAGGCCACGCTGCATTTGGTCGTCCCATAGGTCTCCTCAGGCTCCAAGGCTGTTGGCCCGTGGTCGCTTCTCGGACATCATTTGTGTTTGATGACCTTGATACTTTTGAGGAGAGCTGGTCAGGTGTTTTGTAGACTGTCTCTCAACCGGGATTCGTCTGATGATTCCCCCCTGTTGGACTGGGGTTTTGGGTTCCTGTGAGGATGACGGGGACCGCAGAAATGAAACGCCCTGTTCGTCGTGTCCAGTATGTGACCCTCGGGGTCGATACCGACATTGCCCGCCTGGCTGAGACCGTGGCTGTTAGGTTTCTCCACCGTAAAATTACTTCTTTTTCCCTTGCCGCGTGCTACACTGTGGAAGGAAGTCACCGCGAGGGGTAGGGAGTTTCGTTGCCTCTCCCTGAGGGCAGAGGGTCTACGTGAATTATTTTGAATTCTTCTGCACAGGTCTGTATACCCTCCCTCTTCATTCATTCAGTCCGTCAGTTACCTCAGCGCGGATCCGTGGCCGTTTGAGTTACGCTTCGGGCTATCCTCCAGGACCGTAGTGTGTATTCTGTTTCTCACCTTGTCCCAGCTCTGGCATCGGCAGCTCTGTCGGGTGGCTCCCACTGGCGTGTGGGTGTGCACACACTTGCACTTCAGGGCTCTTTCATCTTGCGTATTTCCCGGTCCAGCCCCGGAATCAGCCAGTGGCCCAAGGAGCCACGGCCAGAGTTTATTTTGAAATTTCTGGCTTACGGGGCTGTCTACGTCTCTGTCTTCCGAACTCTTATTACTTGGATAGAGACGGGGGAGGGGCAGGACCTGCCAGCTGGGTGTCTGCGTAGGGGTTGGGCAGAGGTCAAAGGTCTGTGCCAGGCGCACAGTCTTAGGGTCTCTTAGGTGCTCCTTTCAGGGTGGGACAGTGGCGGCGTGCCTGGGGCCGGGGGGGCAGTAGCAGAGTGTGGCCAGAGTGCAGGGTTGGAAAGGAAGGGTACTAGGAAATTGGGTTGCGGCCAGATGTGCTGGTGTTGAAAACCGGGCCAGCTTTGCCAGGAGGGCAGTGTAAAAAAAAAGCCAGTAAAAGTGGTGCTTTGGGATAATTAGCGTGGCAGCCACACACAGATCAGACAGAGGAACGGCATTTGGGAAAGTGCTAGAAGCGGGTGCCTGCAGGAATAGCGGGGCAAGGCAGGACCCGCGGGGACCGTCGTAGCTTGCCAGAGATTTCTGCGGGTACTAGTTTCTTCATAATGGGGGGCGGGAAACCGGAGGAATCGGTGACTAAGCAATTTGTTTGCTTACAAGCAGTGAACTTAATAAAACAAAGAGAGGTTGTCTTAAAACATCTGTGCTGCCCTATAATTACTACCGCGGGTGGTGTCCTTGTCTCGGGAAGAGTCAGAGTTGAATTGGCGCTCCGCCCACCGTGGGCTATCACACAGTGCAGGTGGATGGACCATGAGTGTTTAATTCAGTCCAGTCATCTCAGAATTACTTCCTGTTGAGCTGCCTGCTTGGACGCCCTTCGGTGGCAGTTGTATTTTTAAAAGTCGTGGGGCCCCTGAGATGCTTCATGGCAGAGAGGAGGCGCTCGCTGAGCACGCTTGTGTGCCGAGAACGATCCTGGGAGGACGCTCTTGCTTTTTCCCTGGGGCCTGGCTTTTTGAACTTGAAATTTCGTTCGCGTACACCGAGGGAGAGAAATGTGATAAGGAAAACGAAGTCCCCAAACCGGTGGTGTGACCTGAACTTTTTTTTTTTAATTTTTTTTTTCAATGTTTATTTATTTTTGGGACAGAGAGAGACAGAGCATGAACGGGGGAGGGGCAGAGAGAGAGGGAGACACAGAATCGGAAACAGGCTCCAGGCTCTGAGCCATCAGTCCAGAGCCTGACGCGGGGCTCGAACTCACGGACCGCGAGATCGTGACCTGGCTGAAGTCGGACGCTTAACCGACTGCACCACCCAGGCGCCCCTGACCTGAACTTTTAAACCCACTCTTCCTCCTCCTGAAACTGTTTTGGACACAAACACCGAGTCTGCTACGTAGAGTCCTGTGTTGTCATTTATCCAGCCGGCCTCCGATGTTGTGATTCGTGCATGTGGTTCCCTAGAAACCGTGAACGGGTGTCGTGTGCCTCGTTTCCACATCCGCCTTCTGCGAGAGTGAATTCACTCGGTCAACCAGAACGCCCTCCTCCGTGTGACCACGTGCACGCTCCTGCCACCCGGGAGCCTCGGGCAGGCCTGTTGCCGAACAGGGATCACCTGCTTCGGGGTGGAAGCAACATTTCGTTAAAGATTAGTTTGAAGTTATTTTTATCTGTGAGATGAGGATAGGAATACACACCTGGTGAGGTTCTTAGTGGGTGTGAGGGATAAGAAGCAAGTGCGTGTGTTCTAAGCAGGGTCTAAGCAGAATCTGCTTTCAAAAAGTCCCATCTCAGGGGCACCTGGGTGGCTTGGAAGGTTCAGCATCTTGCCTTTTTTTTTTTTTTTTTTTTTTAGTTTGTTTATTTATTTTGGTAGCGAAAGCATGCGAGCTGCAGAGAGGAGAGAGAATCCCGAACAGGCCCTGAGCTGTCAGCATAGAGCCCAACATGGGGCTCAAACCCGCAAAGTGTGAGATCACGACCTGAGCCGAACTCGGTCACTGAGCCGACTGAGCCACCCAGGCGCCACTCAGAGTCTGACTCTTGATTTCAGCTCAGGTCATGCAGGATTCCAGGGTCATAGGATCGAGCCGCGTGCTCTGTGCTGAGCGTGGAGCCTGTTTAAGAGTATCTCCCCCCGTCTCTCTCTCTCTCTCTCCCTCCCTCCCCCTGCCCCCTCCACCACTCGTGTGCTCTCTCTCTCTCTCTCTCTCTCTCTGTCTACAAAAATAAAATGAAATAAAATGAAGTAAAAATCCCATCTCAGCGGATTTTACTGCAGTGGCTATGCCTTGTGTTTGTTGCTGTCTGGTGATTTTTTATTTTTTTAAGTGAGGAAACTTTTTCTGCAGCAGAAGCAAGAGAAACGAGATCGTTGGGCTCCTGCCCAGCATGTAACCAGCAGAATCCCCCATCGGGGAATACACCGGCACCTCATTGTGAACTCGGTGCCTGTAGAGACCCGGAAAGAGAGGACATGTTGAGAGCACCGTGGGGGAGGGGGACACTGGGGGGGGGGTCACTCTCTCTGTGCACCTGCACCGTTGGGGATTTCCAAGCGTGCCTGTGCAGAGAGGCCCCGGGAGGCCCTGTGGTGTGACTGCACTTCCCGCTAGGTCTGGGTCAGTGTCCTACACGAGCTGCCGTGCTGTCCGCAAAGCCGGCCCCCTTTCCTTGCTTGTACCCGTACTGCAAACATGCACCGGTTTCTCCCTAGAACGACGAAAGCCCCCGGGGCGGGCCACACTCTGCTCGTCTTTTCCTCTCTTTCATAACTTAACCAAATTACTTAGCAGGCTTGAGTTGGAGATGTAGGTAGTTTCAACAGAATGCACACGCGAATGGCAGTAAACGGCAAGCGTTTTGTATTTCTTTTCGGGAAGGGTGAAGGTGTCCCGATCCCTGGGGTTCAGGGTGTGTCTGGAAGGTGGTCCAGCGCCAGCCTGGATGGACCCCGTTTACGCTGCCTGTTTTCCGCGCTCACTCCACCGTTTCGGAAGACTTGGTGCTCTGACACTGCAAGGTGGCGTTGTAGTTTATTGTCGCATGGAGGACGTATTTCACTTTCACTTCTCCGGGCCTTTGTATTAGTCAGACCTGATGCGTTGTCTGTCTGAGCTTTTCAGCAAATGCTTTTGATTTAGATTTTCCATGAAGGAAGCAACTGAACGTGAGCAAAAAGTCAGGTCAGTCGCCGCCGAAAATCTGTCTGGCAGACGGAAGCACCCGCAGGTGCAGTGAAGAGGGCTCGCGGGCCGGCTCTCCTTCCCCGAAGCGAGACGGGGTCGCGGTGGATACGGCGGTGAGACACCTGTGCGCAGACACGTCCTGCGTGGGGCCCTGCTCCCCGGGTTTGTGACGCTGTCGGCCTGGCCTTTGGCTGCCTCCCCTGTGACATGGGGACCAGGAAAGTTACCCAGAGTCGCCGCAGTCACAGGTCCCTCCGCTAAGGTTCGGGGCCCTGGCATTCCGTGACTGTGGCCTGCTGTTGTTGTCTCTGCCGTCACGTCCCTGCAAGTCACGTCCGCACGCCCGTGGAGAATAAGAACCCGTGTGGCAGTGCTGGCGGGACAGGGCGTTTGGGGGTGCCCCCCCCGGAATTGCCTTTGGAGGCCACATAGCTGCATTCGTTAGGTGGTTCTGTCACTCGAGCGAACCTGAGTTTGAAGTTTTTCTTTGAATTTTTGTGTTTTAACCTTAGAACGCATTTGGAATCGAGTGAAAAACATTTTGGTTTCTTTTGGTTTAAACCAAAAGAAACATTTTGGTTTAAAGACTTACTCGTGGGGGCGGCTGGTCTGGGTGGCTCGGTCTCTTAAGCCTCCGACTCTTGGTTTCCGCTCAGGTCATGATCTTGTGGTTCGTGGGATCGAGCCCCACTTTGGGCTCTGTGCTGACAGCGTGGAGCCGGCTTGGGACCCTCTCTCTCTCTCTCTCTCTCTCTCTCTCTCTCTCTCTTTCTCTCTTTCTGCCCCTCCCCATTCACTCTCACTCTTGCTCTAAAATAAATAAATAAAGTTAAAAAGAAAACAACTTGTAAAGCTGACGCAAAAACATGGTCTTTGGGTCCGAGTAGCTGAGTTTTGGGTTTTATCGCTCAGCTTTTTTTGATCTTTGGCTTTGGAGCTTTGTGAGTCCCTGGTTCCCATACGCTCCCACCGAAGTGACCGCTCTGTGGTTACTCTGCCCTCCGGCCCCACCACCCACCCTGCCTGCTTCGCAAGCAAAGCCCTGGGTGCGTGGCGCTTCAAGGCCTCATTCACTCAGTGCTGGGACTATTTTCTGCTTCACTTGCAGATTTGTTTTCTACCCTAAACTTTTGTTCTAACGGTCAGTAATCTTTTACAGCTCGACACGTAACGGGTGTGCCCACTCCCCTTAGCCTTAGAAAATCACTTGACCGCAGGCCTCCTAGAGGCCGGCTGTGCGGGCACCGTGTCCGCCCCTTCCGCCTTCTTCCCCTCCCTCGACTCCCCGTGATGTGAGAATCCGCCCCCAACGTTAGGGTCACTCACAAGCGGGTTGCTGGCCCTGCTGCCGACTCCTTTGTTTTCTCGATGAGCACACTGCGATGGGAACATCTGAGTTTGTCTAGAAATGTTCACGGCTCTGCGCAGCGTCTTGCTGGGGTGTCCAGAACAGTTGGGCTGTTGGTTCTACTCCCCGTCCTGCCTGGGCTGTGCTCCATCAGAGGTGGGTGCCTGATGTCTCTTGTCAGAACTGGCTCGGGAGTCAGCCCCCCATAGACGTCGGGGGTGTGAGGGGGGCGGGGCGGGGTCTCAAGAGTGAGGGCATGGCTCTGCTCTGGAAAGCAGGCAGGCTTGCGTGCTAAACACAGTGAAAGCCGGTTGAGTAGAGAACCCCTCTCCCCCCTCACCCCCACCCCCGCCATGTGTCTGCACCTGGCAGTACGTTATAATTACCAAAGCGCCTGCGTGAATGGTTGCTGGGAAAAAAACAAAAACCCAACTAACAAGCCAAAATTGGGACTTCCTGAATAATACATATCATTGTGATCTATTGCACTTGTAAGTTATAGATAATATATGGCTTTTTATATTTTGTGCAATATGTGTAACATGTATGTAATATAATTTTATATATGTTATACATAATTACACGTTAATACGTCACATATGTAATACATTACATATAGTACATTATAATCCCTATTTTATGTAAATATAAAACACATTGACCCTCGAACACCATAAGGGGCCCCGACTCCTTACATGGTTGAAAATCTGCATATGACTTTTGACTCCCCTGAACTTAACTCCTGCCAGCTGAATGTTGACCAGAAGACTTACGAGTAACATAAACAGTTGATTGACACATATTTTGTATATGTCATGTATTTTGTATCCATACAATACAGTGAGCTAGAGAAAAGAAATCATAAGGCAGAGAAAATGCATTTTTGGTACCGTCCTGTACTTACTGAGAATCATCCACGTTTAAGTGGACATGCGTGGTTCAAAGCCACGTTCAGCGGCCAACTGTATACGGTCTCATATGTTTTATATATTCTGTACGTATCTTTTTTCTTGTAAACTTTCCTTTTTGGCACTCTGACTCACGTCACTCATAAATTCTCGCTCTCTTGACCTTTTATGTTTTGTGGGCACGTAGGCATGTTTTCTGCTCCCAGCCCAGAGTGGCGATGTCAGAAAGTTCAGTTTTCCTTTTTTATCTCAGTCTCTCAGGTGTCCCATAACCCGTTAGGAAACAGATGTCTAAGAATACACCAGCAGCAGCCCTTCAGAAAGGTCGCTTGTAAACACACGCGTGCATCAGGTCTTTGTGAATTTTTCAAAGGCATCTTAAGGAGAATAATGAACATGCTTCCGGCCATTTGTAGACACACAGAGCCTGGAAGAGGCTGTTGACACACCTCTCCCGTGTGCCCTGCGAGTCTTTGAAGAGGGAAGAGCGGAAGTCGGCGGGTGTGGCTGACTGCCGTTCTCTTTCTGGAAGGCTCTGACTTGGCTGCTGAAACGTCCCAGCTGTGCCTTGAGAGTCTGATGGTGGAGGTGGTGGCCGCGGGAGGATTTGCAGGTAAAGGTGTGTGACCCGAAGCCTCTTCCACCACTGGATGCTGGCACCTTGAGTTTTCGCTGTTAAACCCTGTGGGCAGGGAAAAACTTTCTAGAAACCGTCATTAAGGTGAAGAACTGCCAGTTTTAGTGTCTCCTTCCTAGGAGATTTGTATTTCATCGGAAAAGAAGACGTCAGCTCTAAGAATAAAAGTCCTTTCTCTAGGTGGGTAAGTCCTACAGTTTGGTTCCAGTTATGGCTTTCAGAGGCTGTACCTGGTCTCTTCAGTGAATTTGAGACGAGCCTTTTTCTCCCAAAACAGCCCAGAGTGGGCGGCTCAGCCTTTATTCAGTTGCAAGGTCTTGACCCCTCTCCTGGTCTTGTCCCCAGGGAGGGCAGCTCACAACAGCTCTGCACACTTCCGGTTTGACGGATGACAGAGCAGAGCCGAGCTAGGTGTTTGTGGTCACGTGGTCAAGGGCCCGGCAAGGTTCAAGGCCACTGGGCAGGCAGAGCTCTCACTGGTGACGCGGAGGTGCGTGTGTATTAAATCTCCAAAGAC